GAACTAGAGATGTGGTGTAGTGTCATCTTCTGTTGTATCTTTGTCTATGAGAACTAAACTACTTCTTTCCTAAAATAGAACAAAGCAAATTTTCTATGATATATATATCATAGAAAAAAAAAATATATATATATATATATATATATATATATATATATCTTTCTAAAACTTGACATCCAGGAAGGTGATTAATTCAGAAATTACATATTAATGAGTTAATCACTCAGAGAACATTTATAGGGTCTCTACTGTGTGCGTAGAAACCTGGAAGGGGACATAATAGAAAAAGATAATTCACCAGTCAGGCACAGTAGACCTCACTTATAATCTCAGCATTGGGGAGTCTGAGCAGGAGGAACCTGTGTTTGAAGTCAGAATGGGCTACATAATAAGTGAGACCTTGTCTTAAGAAAGAAAAAAGGAAGGGAGGGAAGGAGGAAAAAAGGAAGGAAGGAAAGAGAGAGAACGAGAGAGGGAGAGAGAGAGAGAGAGAGAGAGAGAGAGAGAGAGAGTTGCCAATTACCTATTGTCAGTATAAATCAATCTTTACCAGCATTCCCATACTAGGGACAATACCTGCTAATTAAGAATAATTAAAGAGATGTTTTCTTCCTAGCCTAATGGGTCCCTCCCTGATCTAATGCACTCCTGAGCCACCTACAGAACCTTCCACCCATCCCACAAGCCAGCCTGCCTTAAACAGCAAAACAAAACTCAAAGGAGTTTCCAGCAGGGCTCACACAACCAGGTTGCCCTTGAATAGAAGTATAGAACTTAAGAAAGAAGAGGTGTGATCTCTGCATAGTTAGCAATTAATGTCCAAGTATCCAACCAGCAACAAGTAGATGCATTTTAGCCATTATTTTAGTGATAACAGCAGTACATCACAGGATATAGCTTGAAGTGAAAAAAAAATTTCTTAAGAGAATAAAATTTTGTGATTCTTTTCCTATGAGGTGATTTGATGATATATAAGTATAGATCTCAGTCCTTATCAAATCGCATTTACTACTACCTTACATTCTTCTCATCTGACTTATATTGATTTTCTTGTTGTTCTGTTTCACAAGTGCCATTGGTGTGACCAATTACTACTGAATGTATCTGAAGAGTAAATAACGAAGGGGGAAGGGATTGTAACCAGCCATTATTGATTACTCAATTTAGGCCAGGCACTTTTATCACATTTAACCCAAACAATGATGCTACCAAGAAATATTGTTATTTCATTCCACATCTAAAGAACCTGTTCCTTAGAGAGTCTACTACATTTGGCCAAGATTACAAAGCAAGAGTGTAGGAATGAATGAAAGCCTTTCCCAGACTAAAACAGTGTTCTCAGCAGAAGCTGTTACTGTTTATTAGTCATTAAATTCTACATCATAAACAGTCTCATCAAAGCATTATAAGTTATCTCCATGACAACCCTTAATCCTATCACCACTAGCATCTTAATTTATGACAACAGGACTTTTATGAGCTCTCCCAACTTATTCCTGATCTATTTTTTTATGTCATGGGTGCATAACCATTAATAATAAGAAAGAAAACCAATTATGCTGACACCATCTTGCATTTAAATGAACTTAGATAATGGAATTTCATAGAATTATTATCTGAGGTCATCTAACTCAAGTTCTTCTTATATTTGATGCCTACAGACATTAAAGAGGTATTAATAGATAAAGGAAGGGAATGAAATGACCTCACATTTCTTGGCTTCCAATAAGAAATCTCTAAGTCACATTTTTCAGAGGACCAGAAGTTTTGTTAAAGCCACCTTCTGTACATTTCTTCATTCAATTACAAGTAATGTTTACAGTGCCAAAATACTACTACATTTCCCTTGAGGAGAGTGGGGAGGGAGAATTGCAGAGAAAGTGTTTTGTAAATTCAGATATGCTTGGGCCTAGCCAGTCCAGGACCTCTAAGTGCACCTAGCAAAGTAAGTATGAAATCCATAATTAAGTGGATATTACTAAAGAAGAAAGTCCTGAGTGAACTCCATAGACAACACCCTGAGTGAACTCCACAGACAACACCTTGATTGAAATCAATAGACTACACCCTGAGTGAACTCCGTAGACAATGCCCTAAGTGAACTCCATAGACAACACCCTGAGTGAACTCCATAGACAATGCCCTGAGTGAACTCCATAGACAATGCCCTGAGTGAACTCCACCGACAATGAAGGCTAATGACATCACTGCCTATGCAGGCCTCCCCTGGCTTCTCCAACATTTCCATTTAAAATCACATCAACACATCAGGAGAAGGCATTTCATAATTTGTGTTAAGTTCCCAAATAACAGATCAACTAAAATTCCTGAAAATATGTTCTTACAATCTCAGGAGAATTATCTAAATTTCCTTTTAAAGCTATCATGATCTCAAATGAAGTCTTTGATTTCCTTCAGCAAACCATTGCTTTACTAATTTGAGTAAGAAGTAAAGTCATAAGCAAACTGATAATGCCAATTCTAGTGTTTACGCTTGATAAGTTCCATACTGGAAGCTCTGCTGTCTTCCAGCACCAAAAAGGAATGGGCATTGTCCCAATTTTCATGAGGGCTCGGCTTTCACTAATGAGTCATTAATTGCATGAAAAAGGGACACTGTACAGCTTTGCCTCATAATAACTGACCAAAAGAAGAATACCCTGCATCTGAGCTGATTTCCCCACATTTCCAAACAACTTGATTTCTCTGTATGTGCCCTTCTTCCTTCTCTTCATGGTTTTTCAACATACATGAAAGGCTCACTCAAACCAATTAAATTACATTACGTTGAAAAGCTTTCTCTATTTTTTTTTAATTTATTTATTGGTTCCAGTTAGGGAACAAGCTTGTTTCACATGTAAGTCCCTTCTCCCTCTCCCTCCCCTCACCCCCATCCCTCCTCCCCCACCCTCACCGGGG